GTGTATGCTATTTTAATGAAATGAATTGAATTATAATATTTTTACTGGATGTGTGGATACTAAGATTTTTAGTACATACCACATTTTCTATGAAAAGAATACAAGGAGGCTTCAAAACTTCAAGGAAAATAGAATCAAAAGATAATTCCATATTTTATGCAAAGAAAATGAGACTGTGAATTTAACTGTTTCAACTATCAATGTGAAATTCCAATGATCTTCTACAATAAAAAAGTCACCAATTTTGCTCAAACAGTTCACATTTCAGATTTGATGTTTGTTTTGTAATAAATGCTATAATTGTAAATGAGCAAATGAAAAGATATTATAAAAGAAAATTTATTGTTCAGAATTTCTAGGATGCAAGGGCACCAAATGCCCAAAGGAAAGCCTCACAGATATGAAGCAGATGTTGTTGTTGTTGTTGTTGTTGATAAGTGCCATCGAATTGATGTCGACCCATAGGACTCAAGAAAAAACGAGTACCACAGTGGAAGAGAACTGACAGGGTTCTAAATGAAATTGATACCAGTTTATACAGTTCGCATATGATAACAATTGTATTTAGCTTTTCATTTCAGACCAATCAAGTATGACTTGACATTCATGTCTCATTCATGGATCACATAAGAACGAACCAAAGGCACTAATTGAGTGAGTATTCAGTAGGGCAGCTTTCTCCCTTAGTAGCCCTCTCAGTCTAACGCCTTTGTGCAGTGTCCAGACTGCCTAGCCACACTCCCTAACATGACTTTTAAAGATCCATGGTCTGGCTCCAAAGCACTGTTTCCAATTACAAATCATTTCCCCTGTACTCCTCAAACCCTCCGCTGTGCCTTCTAGCCTTTCTTACCAGATAGCCTCATCAGTCCCAGGCCAATGATGTCCTTGTTGTTAAATGCTGGTTCTGACCTATAGTGACCCTGTGTAGGGTTTCTGTGGAGCGAGTGGTGAGCTTGAACCACTGACCTTGTGGATCAAACCAACTTTGCAGTCTAGCGTATTAATTCCCAGAGCGCCACACTAGGACTCCAGGCCAGTGATGGTGGTGGTGGTGTGCCGGGAAGTCACTTCTAACTCATTAACAACCTTGTATTGGATTTCCAAGTCTGTAAATCTTTACAGGAGCAGAAAGCCTTATCTTTCTTCTGTGGAGCAGCTGGTAGTTTCGAACTGCTGACCTTTAGGTTAGCAACCTGACTCGTAACCACTATGCTACCAGAAGATAGCTCTTTGCTAATCCTTCCTCAGCACACACACTCAGAGCTAAATACTAACCACCTCCTCTGTACTCCCAGAAGCCTGTTCTTCATCCTCTGCCACAAAACTGATCACATTATATAGTAATTCTCTGTTTGCTCATCAGTTCCTTTCTGCCTCCCCCTCCAGTGCCTGTGGTTTTCCAGCTCCTCGTCCCCTTCTCAGAAATAAAGCCTGGCATCTAGTAACCTCAATAAATGCTTTTTAAATGAAATACTGAATGAATCAATGGCTAGGAGGAGGGAGGAAGTAGAAGGGAGAAGGCTCAGAAGAAATTGCACTGTTTTCAAGCTGACCGGCATCTGTTTCAACACGTGCAGTTAAAACTAAAGGAGAGAGGAAAGCTCAGAATCTAAGACGATTTGAAACAAATTAGCTTCTTATCTCAAATTCCTTAGATTTGAGAACTATTGTTTTTCCACAGGACATTATCTTCTTTGCCATAGGGAAGTGAGGTTTCATTGAGGTCAGTTTGGTACTTCCAAGCAAAGCTTTCCTGGGCTGACCTGGGGGCATCCAGGAACATTCTTTTCTCCCCACCTCACCTACATGCAATATTGTGGGTTGATTTGTGTCCTCCAAAATATGTGCTATAAATCCTAACTTCTGTGCCTATGTAGTTAGTAGCTATAATCCTATTTGAGAATGGGTGTCATTTTTATGTAGATGAAACAGGATTAGTGTAGGGTGTGTCTCAAGTTACTGTCTTTTGAGACAGAGGAAATTAAGCAAGCAGAAGAAGCAGAGATTGGGGGAGACAAATGCTAAGACGTGTGAAGACATCCTAGGGGCAGCTTCAAAGAAGCAATGACCTTCCTTTCTCCTGAGCCAACAAAGAGACAAAGGGCTTGCTCTAGAACCAGTGCAAAAATTCTGATGTGGTGCTATAGGATAAGCACTGGACTGCAAGTTTGGTTTGAACCACAAGGTGGACCGTTCAAGCCTACCAGCCAGCTGCTCATTGGAAACCCTATACAGGATTGCTGTGAATTGGAATGGACTCAATGGCACTTAACAACAACAAACTGAGAAAATACATTTCTGTTTGTTAAAGCCAACCGTGTGTAGTATTTGTGTTACAGCAGCACTAGAGACCCACGGCAGTGCATGTGACCAGCCCCGAGCTCCAAGTATTCCTGGCAGTCAGTTTTGGCATTTCTATGGGCCAAAGATATGAGATCACCACCAGCTGTGAAGTCACCAGTGCATGATTCATCTGACATCAGTTCCCCACTTGGAATGCTCTAACATTCTCAGAGCTTCTCCTAAAGCATCCCTGGTCATTTTCAAGGTTCTCTCAGAGAAGCAATTAAAGAACTAGGAACCATTAATCCTGAAGGGGATTTGAGAAACTTCCAGGATTGAGGCTGATTTGGGGCAGTCTTTGCCATTCTTCATGTAGGACTTTTCATTATCTCCAGCTCTTGCTTCTTTTCCTCTGTCCCAAAGCACTTAACCAAGATCCCTGAGGACATATTCTGAAGGGTTCAGATCTCATCCCTAAAATCCCATCCTTACAAATGAGTTCACCTTTGTTGCTGTTCTGACTCATAATGACCCTGCATAGGGTTTCTGAGGAGCAGCTGGTGAGCTTGAACTACCTACCTTGCGGTTCAAACCAACCTTGCAGTTCAGCGCATTAACCCACAGCACCACACTAGCAATCTGTGAGCTCACCTTTACAGATGAGGAAATTGAGGCCCAGAGGAGGGAGGTGACATGCTCAAGGTCATACTGTAACTGTGGCAAGTCTCAGACCAAATTCAAGTCTCTGGCTGAGTGCACTTCAAATGAACAAATGGTAACATAGGCAAAAAAGAGAGCAAATCCTCTCTTGTTTTCTAACAGAAAATGGAAGAGACTGGCCTTGAACCAATATCTGTTTGACTTCAAGGCATTTATGTTGTTACTGCCTTCCTAAACTTGTCACTGAGAGAATACAAAGACTTTTCCAGAGCCATTGCTAAATCCAAAGCAACAGGCAATGTAAATACTTACACTCAAATGTCAAGGGAGAGGTCTGGTGAGGTAGATGTTCAGGGTGAGTCCATAAGGAATTTACAGTAATCCAGGTAGTCATACAGGGAGAGAGGAAATCAGATTAGCGGTTTGAGAGAGGAATCTAGGAAGATGATGGGCTATGTTGTTGTTAAGTGCCTGGATTCAGTTCCGACTCCTAGCGACCCTGTATAGGGTTTCTGAGGAGCGGTTGCTGAGTTTGAACCAGAGATGTTGCGATTCAAACCGACCTTGAACTTGAGTGCTTATCCTACAGCGCCACACCAGGACTCCATAGATGTTTGCTCATCTACAACCTGAGAGATGGTCCAGTTGACGTCTGCGTTCTCTCAGTATATTTTCTAATCTTGTGAATCATTGGAAGGAAGCGATACATCTCCAGTTGGGGTGCGGGTGTGAGGTGGATGGGGGGTAAGGAATGGGGGTAAGTGTGCAGAGTCTGCCTAAGTGAGTCTTTCCCCTAGCGGGTGTTCAAAGTCCAAAGCAGCACCGATGGCCAGCGGATCAGCCCTGGCAAAACAGGTTTTTGTTTTTGCTTTGCTCAGACAAGGGGTTGTTACTGCAATCACAGAGTACCAAGATAGTTCACGTCTCAGGAATCCAAACCTAACGCCTTCCAGGGACAGTTGGGACTGAAAGGGGGCATCAAAGAATGTTGCCTCTAGGGGTACCCCGGGTACATTTGCCAAGTCTTAGAGCCAACAGTATATATTATCTCCTTTCTGTCTGGTTGGAGGGGCCTTCAAAGGTTCAAGATGCTTTAACTCCCTTGGTTGCCAGTTTCATAGTAAATAAATGATTCCAGCGCGTGTGTGAAAGGCGTAGGGAGCAGCGCGGGGGAGGGACCAGTAATAAGCCAGGAGTCCCTGCTTCCCAGCTCAGGGTCCGTCGTCCCGCCCCCCTTCCTTCTCCCGGGTACCCTCCCAATCTTTTTATTCTTATTTTTACATCGTCTTGGCCTTTCTTCCTTTTTGATTTCTTGTTGCACTTAAGGGCCAATAGAATGGATCCTGCCTTAAATATATAGGTATAGTTTTGCATGAGTATTGCGTCATCGTTGGAGGCGTAGTGGGTTCCTCAAGAGGCCTCCTTGTCTTCCCTAGCACGGGGCCTTTGGACGCTTCCGGACGCTGCGGGCACTTTCGCGAGGAGCCCTGGGCTCCTCAGGAGCGATTCTCTGGACACCCCTCCTCCCAACCTTACCTTCATCCCCCTCCCTCCTCCTTGGCTCCTCCTTCCCGTCCCCTGCCCACTCCCCTCGTGGGGAGTCAAGCTAGGGTGAGCCAGCAGGGCCGAGAGGCGGGCGGGGCTCTGGGGCGGGTGCAGGCGGGGGCGGGGGCGAGGGCGGGAGGGAGGCCCGCACTCGGGGGAGGCGCCTCGGCCCGCCCTCCTCTGGGCCCAAGCCGGGAGGGGGCCCCGGCGGCCGCGGGGCGGGGTAAGACCTGGCCCCTCCCCTCCACTGCCCTCCCCAAAGTTGCTGTCTCCCCCGGGGCCGGACAGTCTTATGATCCAGCGGATCCTCCTGGGGAGATCCGGCCAGCTAGAGGGTGCGGGCGCCGAGCAGCGGAGGCAGCGGGCGGGCGCGGCGGCCAGGGCCGGGGAGGGGACCCAGGCAGCGACTCAGGCAGCGGCTGTGCCCCGGGCCCGCCGCCTCCTCCCCTCGGGCGGGGAGAACCGCTGCATGGGGCCGGGGGGGCGGCCCTGCTGTGCGGAGCGGCGGCGGCGTCGGACCCCCCAGGCGGGCTGGGGCTGAGCCCGGGGCCGGGCCGGGGGCTCCGGGGGGACCATGCCCGGAGGCCGGCCGGCCGCAGCATGGCTCACGGGCCCGGCGCGCTGATGCTCAAGTGCGTGGTGGTCGGCGATGGGGCGGTGGGCAAGACGTGCCTACTCATGAGCTATGCCAACGACGCCTTCCCGGAGGAGTACGTGCCCACCGTCTTCGACCACTACGCGGGTAAGCCCCGGAACTGCTGATTAAGGAGGGGCTGCTCCCCGGGCCGGGAACTTTGGAGCAACTTTGGCGGAGCCCCCTGGATGTCTCCCCCGAAGCGCACTCCCTCACCCCTCCCCTGTCGCATCTTCTATCTCACACCCAGCTCCACCCTAACGCTTTGCTTCCAGCCACCCCACTTGCCCGCATACCTGACCCCCCTTTATAACTCCTTCCCTGTGCCCCCAGCTATCCCCTGCACCCCACAATTCCCAAACCCCTTGACATCCTGAGCAGACCGCCTTTACTGTCTCACCGCTGCCTCCCCTGCTGTACCTAGCCCCGGGGGAAGACATTTGGTGGGACTCAAAAAGACTTGACTCCAGGACTTGAGAGAAGGGGATGAATAGCAGGGACTACATCGCACCCCAAACTCACGCTGCTTCACAGCGAACAGGGAGCCAGGGAAAGACAGTGACGTCTCCTCGGGGAGTACCTGCACACCGACAACAGGGTTGGGAGACTAGGGTGCTGGCGGGGGATCATTGTGAGTTTCTCTCCCCACCCCCCACTTCTGTCCTTGCAGTCAGCGTCACCGTGGGGGGCAAGCAGTATCTTCTGGGACTCTATGACACGGCCGGACAGGTGAGTGTCTTGGCCCTTGGCTTGCTGACAGTCCTCTCCCTTCCCTAATTCTTGGTAGCTGCGAAGGGCCTTTAGAAACTGAGGTGTCAGGGAGCCGAGAGTGTGTCTGTATAGCCCGCTCCAAACCCCTTTGGTTCAAGTCTTTATTTCATTTTTCAAGTCTCCTAATTAAAAAACAAACAAAAACCCAGAAACAGAAACAAACCCAGACCAACGTATCCCTGGGCTGTGAAAGTTTCTGACTGCGTGTGCCTGTGTGCCCTTCTGTATGGCGCTTGGTGTGTGGGTCCCAACTCCTGTTGCAAAGTGGCAGTGGCCAATCATGAAGCGCCCTTATTTTTAGTTGCAGATGACCAGGTCTCCCCTTCACAGCCTCTGTCTGGGCTCTCATTGGTGAGTGGTCTGCCTGCCCGAGGATCCTGATTGGTGGGAAATAGCATCATCTAATATGATGGGAAGGCATTTGGTCCTGGTTATGTTTATTACAACATCATTGCTCTCTGGGACTCCAGTCTCTGAAAACGTAATTTGTGGTGTTACCAGAGGACCACAGGGAAAACAGGAAAAAGAAACAACAACCAACCAGCCACTCCCTGGGGTAGGAGTAGGAGAATTAGGGTTAAGAGTTCAGTGTGAATCTTGGAGGAACAACTTTTTTTCTCCCTAGGTGGCCAAGTGACTTTGTCTGGTTTTCTTTGAGAAAAATTGGTGTGCAGCCTCTGACTAGATTTGCACTTAGGAGACTAAGGCTTTTTGTTTTGTTTTGTTTTTTTCTGTCTCCCTGTCCCAGTCCCACCTTCTTCCCAGACCCACTTTTGTTCTTGAACTGTGAGTTGTGTGTAGTGAAGTTTTGCAGAATCCAGTGCTGTGATTAGACATGAAGATTCAGGCAGACGTCTTCACATGTTATGCAGATTTCAGTCCTTGAAGACATGTGAGCAGTGAAGAGGGTTGGAGGGCGTATTTGGGGGGAAGTCTAGTAGTTTAGTTTCATAATGTCTAAGTGGGGTTAATAAAAAACACGAAAAAAAGATCCATGGTCCTGTGAAGATACTGTGCCAGACGCTTAGCACTAAGTCTGGCTGACACTAGGTGCTCACTAAGATTAGTAGCCATAGAGTCTGATTGGTGGCACTCTTCTTTGTAACTCCTCTAGATTTGGATTTCAGGATTATGGGCACTGAAGTTGAATTCTGTTAGAGTCTGTGTTGGATTCTGAAGAGCAGCTTGAGATTCCTGATGGTGGTCTGCTTTCTAAACTAAGTTAGAGAAGCCTCTGACTATAGAGAAGCTGCTGGCAGTGCCCGAGACTGTTGAATTTACCCACGCTGGTCCAGGTCAGTGCAGCCAGGTCTGTCTCCAGTGCCTGTTTTGGTTGCCTGCCTTATGTTGTTGTTGTCGTTAAGTGTCATCAAGTGGGTTCCAACTTATAGGCTTTCCGAGGAGCAGCTGGTAGATTTGAACTGCCAACCTTGTGGTTCGCAGTCCAGTGCAGATCCTACAGCACCATGTAGCTGGTTTTTACTCTGTCCTCATCAGAAGGCATGGAGGGCAAGTGAGTGAGGCAGAACTGAGTCAAATACGGCTCTCTCTTAAGCAGTCACAGAGACTGAAATTATTGCTTGAAAGGAAGGAGAGTTTTTAAAACCCTCAAGCTTAAATTCTCCCACAGTTCCTCTTCCCCTATCCCCTTTACTTGTCATGGTCTTTTTTTTTTCTTTTTTGAATACTATGAGTTGTATTCAACAGGACATACATATAAAGGGGCTTCAAAAAGTTCATGGAAAAAAATCCATTATCTTTATATATATAAGTTTTTATTGTGAGTTAAGTGATAGTTCACATGGGAGAACACTGGTTCTACACTCATCGTTTCCTTGCAATGATTACAATCTCCTCCGTGCATCATCATTCAACAGTATTTGCTTCTATTGCCTCTGTTTTCCATTATCTTTTAGTTCCATTTTTTTAAATTTTCATGAAGTTTTTGAATCCATGGTATATGTCAGAGTTGTTTTGTGCATACTGAAACCTAACTAAAATTTCTGAGTTCCTGCTGCCTATTAAGCATAGTACAGCCACATGCAACTATTACCATATTTACTCAACAAAATGACCTGTAAGATAAGTAGTACAGTCTTCCCTTGGTGTCCGTGAGGGGTTGCTTCCAGGACATCACTCCATGCCCAAATCTGTGAGTGTTCAAATCCTATATATAAAATGGTTTAGTTTTTGCATATAATCTACTCACAGGCTCTTGTATAATTGAAATAATCTCTAGATGACTTATGTTAAGTGCCACTGAGTCAGTTTTGACTCATAGCAACCCTGTATAAGGTTTCTAAAGCTTGTAAATCTTTGCAAGAGCAGAAAGCCTCTTCTTTCTCCCACAGAGAAGCTGGTGGGCTTGAACTGCTAACCTTGTGGTTCTCAGTCCAGCACTTTATGCTTCCCTCAGCCATTGAGGGATTCTTTTGACCATTTAATTTCTCATCCCCTTCCCCTCATATTGTTGACCAAGATGTGTGTTAGGCCCACTTATCATTTATCCCAGTGTCTTACTAGGTTTTGTTTTGGGGTCAAACTAAGTGATAATTTCTCTTTCAGCATTTAACGGCTTAATACTAATAAACAATTTTAGCAAGGTAATCTACAATGAGACCAAATGGTGAGCACCCTCTCTGCACCTAGCACTGTGCTAAGCTGGGGTGAGTGGGGGCGGGAGGGAGGAATAAAACAGTAAATTTAAGATGGGAATGTGACATGGCTAATTATAGCATAAATAGAAATGCCTAGACCAGATGCCTATACATGTGCTATATAAGGAATTCCTCTGTTGTACTCCTACTTGGTCATTAAGACCCATACCTCTGTGATCCAGTATCAGATTCATCCTATTCCTCTTACAATAAAAAAAATAGATATATGTATATGTGTGTGTGCATATATAAAGTCAAATCCAATGCAATTGAGGTCATTCTGACTCCTAACAACCATATAGTACAGAGTAGAACTGCCCTGGAGGGTTTTCAAGACTGTAATCTCTGGTAGCATAGTGGTTATGAATCAGGCTGCTAACCTCAAGGTTGGCAGTTCAAAACTACCAGTGGTTCCGTGGGAGAAGGATAAGGCGTTCTGCTCCCGTAAAGATTTGCAATCTCGGAAACCCTGTGCAGAGTCACTGTGAGTTGGAACCGACTCCACAGTACTTAACAACAACAACAATCTTTATGGGGAGCCTAGTGTGTTGCTGTGGGTTAATACATCAGACTTGCAAAGCCATTTGAACTGCAAGGTCGGTAGTTCAAGCTCACCAGCTGCTCCTTGGAAACCCTCTACAGGGTCGCAATGGGTTGGAATCGACTCAATGGCACTTAACAACAACAATAATCTTTACAGAAGCCAACAGCCACATCTTTCTCCAGAGCTTCAGCTGGTGGGTTCAAAACCACCCACCTTTCAATTAGCAGTTAGTAGTTGTGCATTTTAACCACCAAGGTCTGTGTGTGTGTGTGTAAATGTTTAAGCTTGATGGGCATCTGAGAAAAGCACCTTGGCTTTGGAATAAATATCCTTGGGTTCAGATCTCCACCTTGCTATATTTGCTGTGTGATCCTTACTAAGTTATTTACCTACTCTGTGATGTAGTGAAAGTATGGACAATTAGAATCTATACTGAGGGAGGATTGTAGGCTGGCTTAAATTGCTTAATTATATATACTCTATCTTTTATTCATTTGTTGTTAAAAGCTTAAATTGCTTAATTTATATATACACTATCTTTTATTCATTTGTTGTTAAAAGCTGTTGAGTCGGTTCCGACACATAGCGAACATATAGGGTTTCTGAGGAGCAGGTGGGTTTGAACCGTCAACCTTTTGGTTAGCAGTCCAGTGCTTATCCTACAGCACCACGCCACACCCCTTTATTCACAGTGGATTTGTAATTAGTATTACAGGAAACTATTATACTCCATTGTGGGGAGTTTTGTGAGAGGAAGGTGGAAGAGACAATGTTGCCTTGTTGTTGTTGTTGTCAGGTGCCAACACTTTGGCTCCTGTGCACAACAGAACAAAATGCTGCCAGGTCCTATACCAATCTTGTTATGTTTGAGCTCACTGCTGTCCGCCACTGTATCAATCAATACTGTTGGGGGCAGGGGAAATCGTCCTCTTTTTTGCTGACCCTCTACTTTTCCAAGCATAAGATCCATCTCTAGGGACTGGTCCCTCTTGATAGTATTTCCAAAGCACAAAAGACAAAGTCTCACCATCCTCGCTTCTAAGGAACATTCTGGCTGTACTTCTTCCAAGATAGATTTGTTTATGCTTCTGGTAGTCCATGGCACTTTCAGTAGTCTTCACCAGTAACATAATTCAAATGCATCGGTTCTTCTCAGGTCTTTTTAAATTCACTGTCCAACTTTCAAATGCATATGAGGCTATTGAAAATAACCCGGCTTTGGTCAGGTGCATATTAGCCCTCAAACTGACAGCTTTGCTTTTGAATACTTTAAAGAGGTCTTTTGCAGAAGATTTACCTAATGCAAGAAGTTGTTTGATTTCTTGACTGCTGCTTCCATGAGCATTGATTGTCAATCCAAGCAAATTATGTCTTAGAAAACTTCTATCTTTTCTCCATTTATCATGTTATTTCTTGGTCCAGTGAGGAGGATTTTTGTTTTCTTTACCCTGAGGTGCAATCCATATTGAAGACTGTTGTCTGATCTTCATCAGTTAGTATTTCAGGTCCTCTTTGCTTTCAGCAAGGAAGGTTGTATCATCTGCATATTACAGGTTGTTAATGAATCTTCCTCCAATCCTGTTGTTGATAGAAATTCTACTTGAATGCTAGATCCTAGAGCCTTTTCAGCAGTGATATGGAGCCAGCTTTGCAATTTTAATTCCCACAGTTACCATCACTGGGTACTGGTCACATTTGACTGCTCCCCGTTAGAAATGCCTTGTTGTATGTCAGATGGTTTTCTTTCTAACCAGTGC